GAAATGTCAGCTTTCCTGCTCCTCTGATGCTGCCTGGCCTGCTGTGTTCCTCCAGCTCCACACTGTGTTATCTCTGATTCAAGCATCGGCAGTTCTTACTATCTCTACAGAAAATATCTTCAGTTTGACCTTTATGGGGATCTATGTTGTTAACACTGAATCACATGCATGCACGGTAAACCTGACTTAGACTTCATTACTTTCTTCATTACTCCAACTTCATGTATTGACTTTCTATATTTTTTATTCATTCATGAGATACGAGTATGACTGGCTGGACCATAATTTATTAAACATCCGTAATTGCTCAGAGGGCAATTAAGAGTCAACCACATTGCTGCAGGTCTGGGGTCATGTGTCATCCAGGCCAAGTAAGGATGGGAGATTTCTTTCCCTGAAGGACATTACTGAATAAGTTTTCTGACAATCGACAATGTTTTCATGGTCATCATTAAACTCTTTTATTTCCAGATTAGTATAGAATTCAAACTCCACTATCTCTGGATTAATAGTCTGTTGATAATACCACTAGGCCATACTAATGCTATCTGTCCCTCCCAACATCCTGTTATTCTTCTCTAAGACCTGCCTAATTCACACCACAGTGCACCAGCACATAGGGAAAGTAAGTTAAGAATATCCACTGGTCTCTGATTATTATCCTGTACACATTGTAGGGGAAAATGAAATAATTATGTTTAAAATGCTTATTTTATGTCTTCTGAGATGGTGCAGGATTATCACCACAGTTCTGAAAGTTTAATTTTTTTAAATTAGTTACTGGTTCTTGAAAATTGTTACTTTTCTCCTTATTTTCTCAACGTGTCAAACATTTACTTAGCTGAGATTTTCACCTATCAGTTTTATGAATTTTGAGTTTTGTTACATTTGAATTTGTTTCATTTCTTCATTTCCTCTATAGGAGCTACAGAAACTTGAATTGAAACTAAATGAAACTAAGTGCCATTTGGAGCATGTCCAGCAGGATGCAGCAAGATCGAAGGATGAATGTCTAAAACTGATGGAACTACTGAGCAAATCTGAGCACCAACTGCACCTCACCAGGTACAAATAATCCTGTTATCTGCCAGTGGCACTTCATAACGCCAGCATCAAGCTGCCTGTCTCTACCGCAGGCAATAAAACATTTTACAGATATTTTTGGTGCTTTGCAATACCAACTGTTCACATTTTTGCCTACTAATTGCTGCAGTATTAACAGGTGAAGCTATTAAAATACCAAACTGCAGGTATGTAATTATAGAAAACCAAATGTGATGATTTTTCTAATCTGTCTTAAGGGAAAAGCAGCATGATGTTTGTAACATATGGACGGGTGATGGGATTACCAGATGTTCTGAGGTTTTTGTTTTTTTTTATATTCTAAGATCTCTTGTATTCTGTCAGTTTGAGTTGTAATGATGTGGGGAACAGCACAATGTGCAATTTTGTATCATGATAAATGATCTTAAAAAGAGGTTGTTACAACAGGATGAATAAGCCATTTATATAATCACTTTTTTTTTTGTTGTTAACTTGTAAGCCTTTATTTATTTTTCCTGTTGTACCAACAGTTACAATACCTACTTAAATTAACTACTATAACTCAATCTGTGATTTTCATAGTCACAGTGAGTTAAGTCACATTTCAGATATCAAGCATCTGATATTGAACCACATTTTGAAGCAGTGGAAACTCTGGAAACCTTTTCACTCTTGTAGGCAATTGCAGATTCACTCAAATAGGATAAAATTCTCAGCCTTGAATTTTCTGTCCATTAGTTTCATTTTCTCTGCAATTCTCCCTCAGAGTTTCACTAGACCCCTATTCCTGAACATACTGAATCATTCTGGGTTGTTGTTCTTTACACTTCAGTTATTCTCCAGCATTTTGCTCGTGATTATTCTTGTGCTGTGTGAGATCATCACAGCCAAATGCAGACCTTTCTTTGTCTGTCACCCAGGTAGGAGTAGTTGTAACAGAAAACTTTGGGTAGTGGTCAGAAAAAAGAGTGAGTTTGTATTTAACATTAGCTAAGTTTTGTTGTCCCTTTGTATAAATGCTGAGAGCAAATGCAGTATCCTCACTTCTCTCCAGCCAAGCTAGCATACAGCTGCTGTCACTCAATAGAGTGGTGCATTTAAGTCCTGAGTTATACGTTCTTTTTAGAAAATATTTGGCCCTTTCTCCAATTAAAGCTTAAATTGTATGGCCTGCTTCCTGACCTCTGCCAATCTGATTTTAATTGTTGCTACACCATGCTTATCAATGTCCCATGGATCACACTTTAGATTTTTTTTTCTCTTCATTGAGAAGCCTTGCATGTACAAATCCCACTCCACAACCATGTGACCACAATTGAGAACTTATATTGCTTTAGCTGACGCATTTCTTTTTTCTGCTATTTCTGGCATTTAGATAACCTTACAACCTTATTTTGTTGTCTAAATAATTCTGCAGCAATAAATTACTCAAAATTATTTGCAAAGTTACAAATTAATCAATAGCATTTCCATTGCACCTTTCATGACCACCAGATGTCTGAAAATGGTTTGGAGTCAATTAATTAATTCTGAAGTGTAGTTACAGGTTACCTGTAGGATATGAGGCAGCCAATTTGCACACAGCAAATTCCTACAAATAGGAATATGACAAGGATCGAATAATCTTTTTTCTTAAATTGATTGAAGAATAAATGTTGACCAGGAAACTGTGGAGAACAACCTTGCACCTTAAAATACTGGGATCAGCACATCCACCTGAGCAGGCAGACAGGATCTCTGTTAAAGGATGGCACATCTGACAGTGCAACACATCTCTGGAATAGCAATGTAGATTTTTGTATTCAAGCCCTGGATTGGGACTTGAATGTGGAACCTTGTGACTCAGAGATGAGTAAATCAGTTGCCCATATCAGATTAGCTGGCTCCAGTTGTGCTACAGAGCCTACTTTTTCAGCATGAAAGTGATAAGCCTTCTGTCATTTCCAGGCCATTTCTTAACCTCAACTTGTTAATTCTATTGCTTTTTATTATGTTCAACATTCTTTCTCCCAACATAAATTACTTTAAATTTGTCTGCATTAAATTTTATATTTCATTTATTTGTCCATCTGGTTAAGTCACTTGAATATCTCCACAAAATATTAATTCCTGATTTCCTTGGAATGAATGACTTGCACAGCTTTTAGACCTTAGAAGTTAGAGAACGACATAGACTAATGGAGTGGTAGCCTATAAATTGTACACATATTATGTGTTCTGCCAACATGGCTGCACAGTAACTGTGCACTTGGATATCATAATGCATAAAAGGTCAACAAATGATTCAAGTAGATAAGCATGCTTATTTTCTTATAATATCCCATCTGCTCCCTTTCCAGAGTAAAAAGAACCCAATGGTCCACAGGGTACACTGTAGATTACCTTGAAAATGCTCCTTGACAGTGACAACAGGATGCCCGGCAGGCCAAAGTGCAAGCATCCTGGTGCACATGTATATCAACAATTTCCTGTACGATGCTTCATCAGAATCCACTGCAGAACTTGTGCTCTGGTGAATACAAGTCCTCTGGTGAGCTTACAAAAGAACTACATTTTTAAAACTCCTGGCTTTTGCCCCTCATGTACCATAACCCACCATGTACAGATCACGATTCTGCACTACTCTCACTTCTGAACAAAACTCTGGCTGCATTCTTGCCACATACATTGCAGTAGTTCAAGTAATGGCTCACCACTACCACCTCAAGGTCAAAACAGGTGAGAAATAAATGCTGGCTCAGCCAACACACTAAGGGGAGGATGAGGCAACCATGGCTGACAAGGGAAGTCAGGGGCAGCATTAAAGCAAAAGAAAAATCATGCAATCTTTTGAAGATTAGTGGGAAGCCAGAGGATTGTAAAGTGTTAAAAAGCCAGCAGAGGACAACTAAAAAAGTAATAAGATGGAGGGGAGAAGATGAAGCTAGCTAGTAATATAAAAAAAATTGCAAGAGTTTTTCGTTAGACATATAAAAGGTAAGAGAGCAGCAAGAGTGGACATTGGACGACTGGAAAATAAGGCTGGTGGAGTAGTAATGAGGAACAAAGAATTGGTGAAGGAATCGGTAGTTTGCATCATTTTTCACAGTGGAAGACACCAGCAGCATGCTAGAACTTCTAGAGAGTCAAGGGCAGAGATGAGTGCATGGCCATCACTAAGGAGACGATGCGAGGGATGTTGAAAGTCTGAAAATGGATAAATCACCCAAATCAGATGAACTACACCCCAGAGTTCTGAAGAGGATAGATGAGGAGATTGTGAAGTCATTGGTGGAGATCTTTCGGGAATCGCTGAAGTCAAGGAGGATCCCAGAAGATTGGAAATTGGCTAATGTAACACCCCTGTTTAAGAAGGGAGGGAGGCAAAAGATAGGAAATTATAGGCTGGTTACTGACCTTAATCATGGGTAAGGTTTTAGATCCCATTATTAAAAATGATGTTGTGGAATACTGGAAAGTGCATGTTAAAACGGAGCTTAGTTAGCATGGCTTCGTCAAGGGGAAGTCATGCCTGACAAATTTGTTAGAACTCTTTGAACAGGTTATGAACAAGTTAGACAAAGGAGAACCAGTAAATGTGATCTACTTGGGTTTCCAGAAGACCTTTGATAAGGTTCCACGTAGGAGGCTGCTAAATAAGATAAGAGCCCATCGCTGTTAGGGACAAGGTACTGGCATGGATAGAGAATTAGCTGACTGGCGGAAGGCAGAGAGTGAGGATAGAGGGGTCTTTTTCAGGATGTCAGCTGGTGATTCGTTGGAATTCTGCAGGAGAACGTGTTGGGAACACAACTATTCACATTAGAAATTAAAAATCTAAATGAAGGAACTGAGGGCATTGTTGCTAAGTTTGCAGATGACACAAAGATAGGTGGAGGAACAGATAGTGTTGAGGAAGTGGGGAGGCTGCAGAAGGACAAGCTAGGCAAATGGCAAAGAAGTAGCAAGTTGGCCCAGCATCTTTCATCCATCTCTGAGCTCACACCCATAACTTAGCATGGGCAGGGTAATATTGAGGTTAGTTGAGCTTTTAATAACTACTGAGCTCTGGTGCTACTTGGACTGCTGGAGCTACTGACCAATCCGATTGGCCAGCGGCCAGATTGTAGAACCTCTTTCTATGAAGCCTTTGAAGTCTCACTGTGTACTAATTTAGCCCACCTACAGCGCATTCTAGCTGCAGGACAGGCTTATTCAGAGTCTGTCGGCTGGCTTATGACTTACTTTCTTGGGTGAGGCAATGTGTCTGATCCTCCACAATCTTTGGTTTACAATAATTATTATAATGAATGCCTTGCTTTTGGATGACATTGTGCAGGGAAGCATGTTGGCACGGTGCCTCAGTGTTTAGCACTGCTGCCACATAGTGTCAAGGACCCGGATTTGATTCCAGCCTTGGGTGACTGTGTAGCATTTGCATATTCTCCCCATGTCTGTATGTGTTTCCTCAAGGTGCTCTGGATTCCTCCTACAGTCAAAAGATTTGCAATTCATTTGTATGGCCATGCTAAATTGTCCAGGGATGTGCAGGTTAAGTGGATTAGCCATGGGGAATGCAGGGTTACAGGGGTAGGGTAGGGAGGTGGGCCTGGGTGGGATGCTCTTTAGAGGGTTGGTGTGGACGCGATGGGCAGAATGGCCTGCTTCCACACTCTGGGGATTCTATAATTCTATGTAGATAACAGGTAGAAGGAGGAAAGGACAGTTTTTTTAGTATTGAACAGGGGTAACTTTGCAAGAGCAGAAAGAACCATTGCAAATGATACACTGACCATGATTAGACAAATAAGAATCAAGCCAGCTCGAGGTTGGAGCAGGATGGTGTAGTCAACTGTGTAAAAGCTTGCAAACAGCTTGAGAAGAACAAGTAGCAATTGTTTATTTTTGTCACTGTCGCACAAAATTTAATTTGTCACGTTGAAAAGAACTTGTGGTGTGGCGTGAAGTGGAAATCTGATTGGAAGAATTTAAACATGAACCTCTGGGAAATATGGGTATGGATTTTGGAGGTGACAAGTTTA